CAGTTTTATAAGCACTTGAATTTGGAGGTGATCAGAGACCTGAAAATGTGCAATATAGAGTAATTTAAAATTATTAGAGTACTTCACATTTTTTATAAGCTTTTCCGTTTAAAAGTAATCGAGTTCTGACTTGTGAGCTTGTGCATTGTAATGTAAGTGCTTCTTATTCTTAGAGAGATACAGCCTATTAAATCAAACTGCTTCAATAATTGTAAATTACTATGCATGGGCATGCTCAAAAATCTAACTTCATTTCTTATATTAAAAATATTTTTCACTCCAAGTCTGTAAAAAAGACTTTTAAGTGACAGAATAATAATTTAAATTTTTGAAGAAGGCTGATTTATATTATCCCAGGAATAAAAACAAATCAAACTACCTACATAAAAATACAGAGATTATGTAAGAATATTTTTATGAGCCCATATTATGAATATTTAATCATGTTCAAAATTAGCCTTCCTCATGTACACCTTAATTTTTTAGTAAACACTAGGTAAACATTGATTCCATGAATAAAAAAAATGCAGCTCAAGCTTCATATAAAAAATTGTGAGAATAATACAAGAATAAGTCTGTGTTTTTCTGGGTTGTTCACAGTTGTGATTAAATGTAACCCCATTAGAGATTTTTAGAACTTCTATGTACCTTTGTACATCTTTAGGACATAATTTCTCAGTCTCTTCTATCAATAACAGAAGAAAATTTGTCTCAAAACAAAATACTCATAAAGATTCAGTACAGGCATAAGAGATGGTCACAGTGTAGATATTGCTGCATATGTACAACATAAAGGTATAAAATAAACTTTACAAAAAAAGGGTCTTTCAGGTGTTTTGCAGGAGTCTGTTCAGATTGGGTTTTTGCCAATGGAAGTCTTCAAACATTGGGTACAGCAGAAAAAACAACATAAGACCGTGCTTGCTAAAAAAACCTGGAAACAATGATAAGTTAACATTAACAGTGAAAGAGCTGAAATGCTCTTACTTCAAAGCGCTACGAGTCATAGAGTGTGCTGATCAGAAGAAAGCAAATAAGAGCACATTGAAGCAAGTTGTGCCAAGTAGCTTTCCATAAAATAAAACATCTCTAAGAGTTCAGTGAAAGGGCAACAGTAGCAAGACTACAGTGCTCTCTGGTAGATGAAAGCTTTAGACTTTAAAGTCAGATCTGAGAGTGCATGTATTTGTGTTTATATATTGTGACTTGCATTCCTTTCTATATCAAAATTGTAAGAATGAAATGCTGGTCGATTGCTCCCATAAGCAGCTAAATTTCAGGCAGGCAGATGGGATTAAACACTAATGCCAAAATAGCATCATAATTAATTATCATGTATCAGCAATAAATGCTGTATCTAGGCAATCCTTCGTGATTCAATCTTTATAAAAAGTGAAGCAATGAATTAACATGCAATGTTTGCATATCAGACTGCAAACATGAAGGTCATGTGGAAACTTCTGAAGAATCCTTTTAAGCAATCAAAAAAAAAAAGAGAAAGGACAGACGTATAAACTAATTGTTCAGTCACGTTGTGTTTCTCAGAGAAGGCCATTCGGCTTAGACAGTTGAACTGTCATTTTTTTCTTAGCTTCTAGAAACCTTTTTTCTTACCTTCTAGAAGGTACTTGACAGTGTAACCTAACCCAGAGCTGGCAGTGAACAAAAGCATTCAGTAAAGATCCAGTAAAGTATGCTGTAAAGACCTAGAGAATTGTATAACACACAACACAATTCTGCTATTTTCTCAAAATAATAGCCTTGAGCCACAAATTACAGGAAATTATATCCCTTTCTATGAAAATACTTATGCCACTGGATATATATTTGTTCACATAATGTGTTCCTCTCAGAGTCCTGTAGAGCCCTTCACATAATAAAGAATTACGCAAGTTAATGCACTGTACTGAGCTAAGCTCTGTATAAAAAGTGGTTCCATTTATCTGTTTCAATTTTGAGTCTTCAATTCCAGAAACAGCAGCTTTCCTGTTTTACAGGGTCAAGCTTCTTAATATTACTCATCTCTTAAAAATGTCAAACTACTTTTCAATTTCCTTTCATCTACAGTTCGAGTCTGGAGTAAATGTCCCCTTTCTTCTGTTGTTCCCACAGATGCAACTTCAAAGAGTACTTCAGAAAAGGTTTTGCAGGGTTTGTATTTTTCTAAAAGTTTTTTTGGAGGGACCTCCCTTTCAATTTTTCTGCACATCTCTGATAGCAACCAATACCAGAGCTCTTTACCAAAAGATGTTAAAACCTCTTTAGAGGACTCCTGCTGTTTGTTAATTCAGTAGCTATACTACTGAGCAGTTCTCACAGTCACCACATTAGCAGCCATCAGCTGTTGTAAGCATGAAACCTCAATTGCCTTTCCTGTGCAATATATATAAGGCCGTGACCCAACACTATGTAGCAGCTCCTCAAGTCACCTATGGAAAATTTCCTTCTTTACAAGAATATGAGTGCCAATTACAGTAGTTTTCTATTTTGTTCCCTTTTCCCTCATTTTAGTCCTTTATCCAGTAAATAAGAGACACACTCCTTTACTCTGTGATGTTTCCATGTAATTCCATCTAATATTGGATTTTGGCTTTGATGCACATTCCATTCAGACAGCAGCATGGCAGACAATAAACTGGGTGCAATCTGCTCTGATCTTCAAGCTAGAATTAAACTGTTTATTTTACTTTAATTCATCAGTTCATATTCTGCTGTTTAACTAGGAGTTATGATTATTCTGGTTTTTTAAATTTATTTTATTGACTGCAATCGTCTCAAAGTTCTCCCCATCTTCAGCAAACACAGGGAAGCTCCCTTGTGACTACACACAGTGTTGTCAGAGGATTTTCTCAGCTGTTTCACTTTACAAGATCACTTGTCCCTAGTAATACATATATAATTCACATATAACTGAAATAGTTCCCCAAAAGCCATTCATCCCCAGAGGAAACTGCTCTTTAATTGTTTGTTATGCCCTCTCAGCAGGGAGGCTGGCTTACACCATACATGTGCATCATTTTATTTAAATGACATCCTACCTTGCTGCCAGAGCTATTTGATCTTCTACCACTAAGGCTGGCAACTACAGACAGCCCCCTGAGAACAAAGCAGCAGATGAAAAAGAAGTGCTGATGCTCCAGGCAAGCTCTTTTAGTCAGAGCTGTACCAGCAGCAACCTGCAGCAGGAAAAAATACATGCTTCAAAGGTAATTACAGTGTGCTGCATCCTCCTATCTTTATTTAAGATACTTGGGATTGATTTCCTTCCCTTAGCAAGGGGAACTGCACCACAACATCGACCTAAATGACCAAGCATGAATTTCAATCAAGGAAAAGAGGCCTCTCTCCTCCACTCTCTGCCATTCTTTCTGCAAGGATCACACCTTGTGACAAATTACCCAAGGCTGATGTCCTGTGGCAGCACCACTCCCAGACACCCTAGTGGTGACTTGGCCCTTCCTGGCACCATTTTCTCACTTCATTTCCCTAACCATGTCACTTGCAATTTGCCACAAGTTGGATTGGGATTTTTTTCCAGAAGGATTTGGGATTGGCAGTGCCGATATCCTGCTTAAACAGGCAAGATGGGGATGGAACTCAGAAGGAGAGAATAGCATCTCACGCAGATATGCAAATACACAGGCTGAGTAAAATTAGCTGTTTTGCTTGTCAGATGTTTACATAAACCTTCTCCACTTCTAATGTTTGGGAAAATTTTTTCCTGAGTTTTGGGTTCACTTTCAAGCTCAAATGAAGCATTTAAAAATATTCCCACAAAGGAAAGTAGAATGGCTGTGTTTCTCTGGGTTTTGAATGTTAAACCTCAAAATCACTTCCAGGTTTCTCAAAAAGCCTTATGGGGGAAAAAAAAATTGGTTCAAGGGAAAAAAAAATTTACCACACCATCCCTTCCCTGAACCCAAGCTAAGTTTCAAGTCTGTGGCTGAACGCAAAAACAAGCTATGTTTAAGGTATTTTTAAGGTTTCAGTATAAGTGGTAGTCACAGGTTTATATTGAACCCCAAGATAATAAGTAAGCACATTAATTTACAATATGTCTTGTCACCCTTCTGATGAAAAACATCATCAGTATGAGAAAGTTTATAGAATTTTTACTTCAGAATTCTTTTCAACTCAGAAAATGTCACTGAGTCTCTGGAGTCTGAGAACAAGAGTTTATATCTCTGGCAAAGGGTTTAAAGGGCATGCTCTGCAGATCCTTCAGCAGGATTACCAAGCAAGCAAAGTCTTCATCTTCAGGGTCCAAATCAGCTTTCAACGGCTGTTGGAAACGCTACCAAAAAATTTCAAAGTGTATTTTTGGGCTTCTTCATTTAACTCACACACTATCAGTAAAGGTCAGAGCTATTTATCTCCATCTCTCATTTCAGTGTTGATTGGAAGAACTCCTTGCAGCCAGCAGCAAGCACAGCACAATTCTGCTTGGGATAAAACTGGCAAGGACACTGGGTTTTTAAGTGGCTGTTATCAATTCACCCTGTTAGCACCTGCTGCTGCTGCAGCTTATCCAAGAGCAGTGCTGGCTCATTGGGTTTCCATCGTTCTGACTGGCATGGACCAAATGCTTCAACAGCAGCTGGAGATCTTAGAGGAGGATCAGAACAACCTTGATTCACACCAAGGTAACCAATTCAGAAAGAGGAAAGAAGAAACAGACAGGCAAAGGAAAGTGCATGTGTGCCAGATGACTAATTCTTGCAAACCTCCAATTTTATAAAAGGATCAAATACATTTTGTATATTTATACTCTCCCATTTCTTTCTTTACAGGCCAATGACAGCCTGCAGAACACTGCATAGATTTGCCAAAAATAATTACTCTGGTCACTTAGCAAAGCAGAGGATCTGTCATCCAGAAACATATTGCCTAGCAACAGTTCTTTTACCCTTCCTCCCTCCCTCGCAATAAGCAAACACAGGCGTCCCCACCCCCTCTCGTTTATATTGGCTTTCTGGCTGCTGGCAGACACAGCTGCTCACCTGGGTGTAAAACTGCTCCTGACAGGAGGAATCTGTGCTGTTTAAGTCCAAGTTCACATGAGAAGATGAGAAGTGTAGTTCAAGAAAACCCTGGCTGCCAGGAAAAGGTGCAGTCTCTGCCTGTGATAAAATTGTCTCACAGTTTGCTTAGAGAAAAACCACTTCAAATGAGATCACCAGTGTGGTAGCTCTTGGCAAATTGTGGTCTGGCATGGTGGAGGAAGGAGAGGAAATAAAACCCATCATAGCAGAAAAGCAACCACCCACAGACTTAGGACACCCTATTTTCCACAAAAGTGTTTCATTAACATATATTTTATTATAACTGTACAGTACAGAATTATACACTACTTTCTACTTTTTTTAATACAAAAATATTTAGGCAGTGATTTATGGAAAATAATTTCTTCATACTATTCCTCCTTCCCCCATGGAAGCCCTCCTGTTTTTTCCACACACAGAGAGCACACCATTTGTCTTTTACCTGATGGCTGTCATCAGTACCAAGGTTTTTTCTTATTTTTCTAACAGCAGTATCTTAGAAAATTGCACAGATCATTTTGGTAACAACTTTCTGTAACATTGTGGAAACAGTCTGGACATCTTAAAGCTGCATACAGAGATCAACATGAGAGAACTTTTGCACTCTGCTGCACCTCCCACCTCTGCACAGCAAGTTACACTAGGGAAGCCTTAGACCTGACAGCTGCCCTAACTCTGAGCAGTGGCACAGCTGTTAAGTACCAGATTTTCCAAGAGCTGTATGCACATCAGTGACAATTATCTAGGATGATATTAATATCCTTTTTTTTTACCTATGCCACATCTGCTCTGCTTCATAATGCAAAAGTTACATTATATATAATATATATGGCTGTACTATATATGTCACTGCTTGGCATGCCTATATTAGTAGAAATATTTGAAAAGTAATTTCAGGTTTAAAAAAATCTTTAAAAGTTCTCTTTCTAAACATTTTTTTTCAGTTAGTCAGAAATATTGTCCTAAAAAATCTCAAACCAAAAATACATAGAAACTTACACACATTTTTTTTATCTGGGCTAGTGATTAATACCTAAATGCCATCACACAAAACAGGAGATACCAGGTATAAATCTTTGTTTAAACTACTGTCAGATGCCAGTCTTGAAATACACAACTTTGAGATGAACTTTTGTATGGCCTTTGAATAACTTAATAACTAACACTCAGATCATCCAGTAAACAAAGATAAAGGGGAAAATGTTAATATGCTATATATTGAAATTTACTACAGTGATTATTGGAGATTTCCTTAAAAAAAGGTATGGAATCCTTATAACTGTTTTCCCTCATGTTTTATTCTATTTTCTATTATTCTATTTTGAAAATAGTTTCAAATTTTTGAGGACGTCATCCAGTCATTTCAGTACAGTTGCTACTTTATTGCTTTTCATGTCATGTTTCAGTCTGATGCAAAATATCTCTCCTTAATATTCGTGTCCCTGCCCATTTGGCAATGGGTTTATCTTTTGTTTTAAATGCTGTAAAAACTAATACCGTCCATCAATATCCTTGATTATTTCAGCTACAGTATGAACAGATTAATGAGGTGTGTTTAATAGTTAAGTTCTGATGAACAACCTGGAAATTGAAAAGAATACTTGCTTTTAAACAGATGTTGTCATTATAAGGAGACCCTTTTTTTCCCTTGTTTGTCATCCTCAACATGTAAATGGCAGTTCATTAATGAAAGAGGTGCATCAAATCCCTGAAGTAGTCCCTGACAAGCTGCAATCAGTTCTAATGTTGATTTAGGTCCTAAAATTTGAGGGTTTTTGCTTGTAAAATATTTGGCACACATATTTAAAATGAGGGCAGAACAAAAAGGAAAAGGTAATTATTATAAGATTCTGTATAGCTTTTCAGATTAATTAGTTATAAACTTATATTTTTGCTAATAAGCATCTAGCCACAGATTTAAAGATGCCTCTTAAATGTAAATTGATTGCTACAGAAATGTCCATACTGTACACAACATGTGCTACACTTGCACAAATACAAATGCTCATTATAATACATTACCTTTGATGTTTGTAGCATTAGGCTTGATCCAGCACCACTGAAACATATGAGAACTTTAATATTGATCCCTGCAGAAGCAGAAAGACATGAAGACTTTTGAGCATATGTCCTGATAGAAAGTCTGAAAATCATTTTGAAAGTAAGGCCAAACAGAAAACAAGTTGAAGCAGAAGAAGTCAGTTTTTAAATGTTCAGAATGAAAAATAAACAGAGCACAGGAACATACAAGCAATAAAGCAGGGCAAAGATTGGACAAATTGATTATGACTACTAGCAACAAACAGTGTTTCCCAAAGATCTGTATTTAAAGGAATTCTTGCGCATAGGATGTGTAATACCAAAAGCAAGCAAAACACAGACTATACAATACTTCAGAAACAAATCCTCTTCTGATATCATTGGAATTATTCACAAAGCCAAATCTTTTCCAATGTAGAGAAACCAGTCCCTCCTCACTTTTGCTGCTGGTTGTTTGCTGTCATGTCAGTGCATTGAACTTTTTCCATCTGTCAGAGTTAGAACGTAGAGAAAAAATATGGTACGCTTTAAGTAGCAGAAGTTTTTTCATTCAGCAATGCTCTGCTGAGCCAGATCTTGAAAAACCTGTTCAAGATCAGACTACCCCACATTCAAATATTTTCATTATTAACCTACATTTCACCCATCTTTGAATCAAAGACTGCAACTTCAGAACACAGACTTTGCAGGGCTTAAAAGCAAAGCCAGGATTGCAGAAGTCTCCCAAATTGTTACACTGCTCTGTAGCAAAGCCCACAGTAAGTACTGGCAGGAATCGATCTATTCATACCAGTGGAAAGAATCAATTTCCACTTGAACGATGGAGCAAAAGAATTGTTTGGTCTCTGCAAGGGGTACCAGCGTCACGTGTACCAATATTACATGATGGTGGAAAAATGATTGAAAGTTTTAATCTTAAACAAAGTCTATTTTGAGCTGAGCATATTTGTACCCAGTCTCAAGGAATTATTTGTTCTTGCTCTTTGTTCCAGTCACAAGCTGTGACCAGCTGCTGATTTTGTTAGCTATTTTTCAGTTAATTTTCAAAACTTTTTATAGCAAAAGATATCTTTGGCTTATTGTTTTAAGTAAGCATTTGTTTTGAACTTCATACTCGATTATAATTGTAATGAATCCACACAGTCAGTGAGAAGCAGAAGTGAAGGGAGGAAAGAACCTGCCAAAAATGCAAGGCTTAGGCCATATGGAGACATCAAGGGATATCTCTGATGTGGATGCTGCCAGCATTGCTTCTTCCTCCCTGCTTGGCATTTCTGAAAACCACTTCTGAAATTCTCCCAGGCCTTACTGTGTAGCGCAGGGAACTATTGTCCAGTAAATGAGACATCACTGAGCACTGTCTTTTCCAAAATGCCTGGAGTAAAAAAATAAAAAGCAGAGCTTGAGGTTCTCCCACAACTGGCATGCAGCCAATTTTAATAGCAGACCCAGATGCCTGTATACTTGCACTGAAATTAACGAGACAAGGAAGGAAGTGGAACAAATGAGATAAAGGTATGTGTATAGAGCAGGGATGACCAATTAGAACAAAATTATGATTGTAGCAATATCTTTCTGCAAGAAAATAAGCCCTTTTTTCATGTCTAAGGCTAGACATTTAAATTCTTGTTCATCTGGTGTCCATGCCCTAATTGAAGGTTATGACCAACTTGTGAACAGCCATAACACTACATCACCAAAGGATATGGCAGAGCAACTGAGAAACTGTATGTGGAAGAGAATGGAGAAGAGGAAGTCAAAATAGAAATTTCCACATTACTATTCATTCCCATCTGATTTCTGTGGGTAAAGAAACATGCTACAGTAAATTCAGATCTTGGAAAAATTAAGTCAAATATAAAAATATGCATTCACAGCTGCAAGGTTCTTTTTGGCCTTCATGTGCTGAGCAGACGACTGTGGGAAACACCTCCCACACTAATTTTATGTCTGAATCCTAGTCTGCCACAGAACTGAACAATACCAAGTTATGTACCCCAGATGCCTTTTGGTTTAATTAGCTGGCAAAGAAAAGTACAAATTCTGTGGGATTATATGTTTATGATGGGCAAAACATTTTGCTCAAATTGATTTTTGACAACTGACTGAATTTTGCAAGATCAAAAGCTCATTTTGCATACTACATTTGCTTAAAAAAGGAAATTAAAATCTTAGCCATTTGCTTGCTATATAGCCCTTGCTCCTGCAGAGCGTGTAAGTACTCACTGCTTACATATCTACTACTGGTTCACTATGGTTTTCACTAAAGCTATTGACATTGTTATTTAATACTCACGTTAAAGTACTACAGGTAAGATTTGATTTCTTTTTCTAAGTTTTCAACAAATGTATTGGAATGACCTCTCTTCCCTTTGTGCATGGAGCATAGAAATGGGTGAGGTGAGCAGAGAGTCTCTCTTGTTAGACTGTGTGTTAATTGAGCACACAATATTTATCAGCTCACCCCCTAGATATTGCTAGATTCACTGTGACTGATGACTTTGAAATGAGTAAGTCATAAACATCTTGGAATACCATTTAAAAAGAGTATATTGTGGTCTTTTGACCGCTCCTTATCTCAGCAGACGTGTGTATTTCTATCCCAGTATTTGGAGATAATCCCACACACATGAATGCTCTTGGCATTGTTGAGAAGCACCTAGTTACAACAACATCTCAAGAAATGCCTCTGATATAAACCATCCCCACAGTGCAGATGAAATTAAATCAAGGTATTAGGAATACCCCTTCACATTTTTGCAAAGTAAAATTCTGCTGTCACATTGAAATAGGGAAATTAAAGTTGTAATAAAAATTAAATACACCTTCTCTTTAGCTTTTAAAAAACACTTAGCTATTTACTATAATTGTTTTTACTCAAGCATGGACATAGAATATCTGACATGGCTTGGTATTTCTTTGTCTGTGATGCAATAACAATCTAGACACAGGGAAAGAACACCATGGAAACTCTTTCTGTCTCAGTAGCCACAGAGCATCAACTCTAAATACAGGAGTAACAAAGA